ATATTAAACTAGATATAAAATTAAATTATTATTAAAATATACAGAAAGGCTGCAATTATGACTTTAATTCAAGGATGTTTCAAGAATTCGAGAATATGTTTTCTTTGATAGTCACTCACAGGTGATCTAGCAGAACGTGACAAATATTGCCATTTGCTTTTAATTCTACTGTCGTAAGCAGTGCTACACTGTCGCTGCGTTGAAAATTGCTAACCCCGACTGACGAAATTCGTTTAATTGAACTGGTTGGTGGTTAATTTTCAGAAAAAAAATAATGGTTGGCCACACCTGAGGATTTTTGTTAATGTGCTTATGGTTTCAATTAGGGCTTGCATGAAGGACAATTGAATTTAGCCAATTTGTTTGTTAATTCAATAAGAACAGGTTTTTTTCACTATTCACAATGATTTGTGCTAGTCTTAAATCTATAGCAACAGTCGTAGGAAAAGAGTAGTCATATGAAACAATTGTACATATCGTCATTAAGCGGTACAAAAAAATGTCAGTATACTTATTGAACTAAAATTTTTAAAAACCAGCATTTCTAAATCGTAATACTAACGTGAACATATCTAATGCCAGCCACAGTATGCTTTTAGGGAAGATACTAGGACTCTACTTAGAAAAAAAGTCTTTTTTTTTTTTAAATTTAATCATTCTTTAATTTTATGAGCTTACAGAGTGCTCACAGATTTAAATTTTAAAAAGGACTTACATAATGAGGTATTATGTACTACTACATATATTATAACGTTAGAATTAGTGTGCACTAGCAACCATCATGTAGTTGATGATCACCCGTAGCCATCTCATTGAAACGACGAATACAGTAAATAAAGAAGAACAATAAAGAATAAAGAAAAAAAATGTTTTCTCAGCAATCCCGTGACAACTTCGAACTCGCCCAGATGACGACGTCGACAGGTCGCGTTCTGCATCCAATCGAACAGATGACCGAACTGGGCGAGTCCGATGATGACGAACCGCTCCTATCGGGTTCGGGTCCAGTTGGACGCGAAAGTGGCCAGGAAAAGCTAGACGAGTGGGGAGATATTATCAAACATTGGAAAGGCAATGCTAAACCGAAGGAAGTCGATGCGCTTATACAAAATTTTGGGGTGCCTCAGGTTTGTATTATACTTATCAATCGTACCTCCGTACAGTGTTCTTAATTGTACTAGACCGTAGTCATATTCTAAAAAAAACTGCCGTTAGTAGAAACGGAAATGTTTAAAATCGGTACCAAAGGGCTCGATTAACTAACCAATCATCTATTAAGTAAATTCGTTGTACTTAACTTTTTGATTCAGTCACTCCGGTGCCAGGTTTGGCAGCTACTAGGTACATCCAAATCCGATATGGAGGATCACGAGTACTATCAGATGTTGGTAAAAAAAGAAAATTCTGCAGCGGTGGACCAAGCGATTGAACGTGACATCCACCGAACTTTCCCCGGTCACGATTTCTTCAAGGAGACTCAAGGGCAAGAATCTTTGTATAGACTTTGTAAAGTGAGTGAAAACATTTCTTCATTTTATATGTTTTATATATTGATTTTTCGATATCTTTTCGTAAGGGTTAATATGACGTTCTGCCAGCTGCTGCGCACATACGCGAATTGAACTAATTTCCATCAATAACTGTTTTTTCCGTTCCTACTTGGCAGGCTTATTCGTTGCACGACATAGCGGTATCGTACTGCCAGGGCCTATCGTACCTAGCCGCAGCTCTCCTGCTACATATCCCTGAAGAGCAGACGTTCTTCCTTCTCAATGTGATCATGTCCAACGAGCGTTACAATATGCGCCAACTGTACCTTGACAATTTTGAAACGCTTCACGTAAAACTGTACCAATTGGCAAAGCTATACAGCGAAAGAATACCCGAAATAGGCAGTCACTTTCGGGATCTCGGCGTCGAGCCACACATGTTCGCATCCCAATGGCTGCTAACGCTTTACACTGCCAAGTTCCCGTTATACCTGGTAATTAACAATTGTTAATAAATTTTCAGCTTCACATATCCTTCCGTATGTTCCGTAAGCCAACATAGTATACAGTATTTCGTCATATTAAAGGGTAATATATGACATATTTTGATGCAATTTGACCTAAGGTTTATTTTCGAGATTTCATTTTATACAACATTAAGTCGATTTCTACGCAAACGTATCTCGCTTTTCCTTCTACGACAACTAGTAATTCAAAGGTATTCTACAATGGAAAAAAATCTTTAATTTTTTCTAAAAAATATTAGACCAAATAACGCCGTGTGTGTAGACTACTCAATGTCTCTTCAAAGCCCAAATAATGACCACCGCTCATAAACAAGCAGCGGTGTGCTATTTATATTGTATTATCGTTATAAGAGGGAAGACCTTAATGGCATTTTATGGCACGTACACACACCCACACACAAATCTCCATACAATTCAAATACCCCTGTAGGCCTAGCTATGTTATGTCGAAAGCTACGACAACAGCACGCATCAACTAGTTCTATGTGACGGATTTCTGCACTAGGTCGTTTGCCAGTGGAGTTTTAGACGGTGAGCTAGCGCTGCACATAGCCTATTGATTACGTTACTCCATTAAGACGAATTCCGATGTATTACAATATTTGCGAAAAGTACCGCCATCAAAGGCACGTATTTGCGTAAGCATGGAAAAAATCCAAAAAGAACGCATAAATCGTAAAAACATCTGTGCGCAACCTTTTTATGCTCAAGCGAATCTTGTGGGCTACATGGTAATCAGAACATATCGGTGTTAGTAATAAGTTGCGAACGTTTTTTAAAATTCTTATGCAGTCCGTTCTCACTTGGTTACCATTGAAGTATTTACAGTGACTGCTCAAAATGGTGCAGTATATATATATATATATATATATATATATATATATATATATATATAGAGAGAGAGAGAGAGAGAGAGAGAGAGAGAGAGCTAGAAAGGGGAGAGAGAAAGGAGATTCGAAGCGAAAAATATGAAGTAACCATATGAGTTAAAATAAGAAGTGAATAGATAAGCTCAGCTTGGGTGGGATTTGCTGCAGTCTTGGCCGGTTTTTACTTTTTTGTCGAGCAACGATCGACTGCCAATGGAGGACGTCGTTATTGTTGCTTCTGCTGTTGCTTTTGTCTTTGAGCTGGACTGGGATATACTGCGTGTACCTGAAGATTTTACCTAGCTGATTGTTCGCAGGACACCACACTTATGCGAGCTAGCCTGTTTTGGGTACGTCATTGTGATTTTACAGCCTCATGAAGCGCAGTGCTTTTTGTTCCACCCTTGCAGGTGTTCCTCGTCCTGGACAACTTCCTTCTGACAGGTCCGGACTTCCTGTTTAAGATCGCCGTCGCTCTTCTTATGGAAAGCAAGCGCGATCTTCTTACCCTTGATTTTGAGGGTGTTCTCAAACACTTTAGGTGAGTACAAGACAAACGTACATGCAAACAATGAAACAGTGCTGTTTGGCCGATTGAGTTGGGATCAGGAAGCACTCGGCATTCATATGTTTATGAGGTACGAATAAACCTCTGTGGTAGTATTGGTAGTTTTATTGGTCAGAAAATTAATTAAAAAGCACAATTGTTGGTTTTTAAAAATCTATAAATCTAAAAGATATACCATTGTATGTAAAAATATTCTTCATTAATACTTGCGTTAACATTGTGGTCTGTCTATTTGAAGTGAAAATTTGTTTACAAAAAACAATAATTCCATGTAGATAATAGAAATTACAAAAATATTACTTTGTATCTTAGTTGGTTTTTTCATATGTTTTAAGAGTCAGGGCGTTAAGTGTATTTTCTTATCTTTATTGACTAATTTCATCGTTTAGGGTATCAATTCCGCGTAAATATCGCAATGAGGAGGCGGCGTTGCGTCTCGTCCGAACGGCGAACCACGTCAAAGTGAGCTCCGCCAAACTTAAAAAGTGGGAAAAGGATTTCCTACAGGAGAAAGAGGCAAATTCAGACCCTAAGGAAATTCGCCGGATGCTTAACGCGCAGCAACGGCTTGACCAAGAGAACGATGATCTCGTACAGGAGCTCATCTCTGTTCGTCTGGAGTTTACACGACACGTGGACGCCGCTCGGGACAGGTATATTTTATAGTCATTATGATGAGGACGATAGTAATGATAAAAAGATTGATTATTTCCCACTTGAACATCCAACAGTGGATGGAACAACATTTATTGCTGTCAATCACTCAGTTGAAAACAATACATGGTATTGATTCTTTAGGATCGACGCACTGTCTAAGGAACTAGCATCCGCGCAACAGTTCGCGACAGATGTTTCCACCGAAAATCAGGAATTGCGGGAACAACTCCAGCAGCTGAAGGAGATGTGTCGTCGAGAAGCGGAGACAGCAGAGGCTACCATTCGGCAGCAAGAGGACACGATTTTTGAATATAAAAAGATCTGTGGACGCTTACAAGAGGTCAACCAAGCGATACAGGCAGATCGAAATCGAAACAAACGAAAGCAGAATGGCGAGGATACACAGGTGAGATAGAAATATTTTATGCGTATATCAATACCAATTTAGATGTTAACCTCAAGGCTGGACGTAGTTAAACAATAGATTTTTCATTTAGTGCGTGCTAATATTATACGTTACTAGGTAACAACTAAATCAGCAAATCGAAGATAATGTGTCAATGCTCGCAGGCTCTAGAAGGAGTGTGAATTTCTATTCTGCGTTTTGTGTCTTAACGGTTTTTCACCATTATATGCCTTTTTTTTTCGCGATTTTGTTGCAATGCGTTCGTATGTACTATGACAGGAGGAAGAATCTGAGTTGGAGCAGCAGTTGCGAGAGCTGGAGCTAGAATTAGCACAAACGAAATTGGCCCTGGTGGAGAGCGAGTGCCATTGCCAGGAACTCAACCATCAGCTAGCGCGAAACGCCCAAGACAAGGAAAAGGCACAGGGTACGCCTTGGCTTAGCAAAACCATTCAGGGCATCATTAAAAAGCAAAATTCTCAGGTCGACTCTTCATGAGCGGGAAAAAACTGAAAAAAGATAAAAGAATACATTTTTAATGGCAGGGTGAGTCTATGCCAACGATGCATTGTCCAACTGATCGACAGACAAAACAATTACATTTCATCTAAAACCGTTGTTATTTACAATGACCCGTTGTTAGCTAGCGTACCCTTTCTTAATCCGTTCCGATAAAAGTGAGTGTATAATTAGTCAACAAAGTGCCCACGGTACAATGCGCTGCAGTATTGTATGGCTCACCGATGCAATACGATGTCCAAGTGGCTGAGAGCTCTGTTGATTACATGTGTATCTCGAAGAATGTATTCCATTTTCGTTGGCTCAACTGTTTGGCGTCACATTTTTCAGTTTTCATAAACCTATTCTGCGGTTGTGTCGTTTTGCAACGGAAAAATTCCACACATGGCTTTTCTACCCTTGACTGCTTAATCCAACAAACAAGTTTTTTTGGACACACACTCAGAAAACAATATACATCTAAAAAGTCTTTCGGTACAATGCAATAAAGCACGATAAATATGCGGGTAAAACTAACTAGAAGACTAACTAGGTAACGTGTGCAATCATATCGAAGCTCTCAAAGGTATCGATTTTTTTTTACAGTTTACTCTCGCTTACTTGCGCAGAGTAACTACATATACGCAAACATGCATTCACAAACAAAGCACATGTATTCAAGTCAAAACCTGTTTGTTGTATAATAGTCCTGATCAGATCCAACGGACAAATGATCGTGAGACACTAGCGTGCTTTGCTTATTTAGCAAGCCTAAGTGGAATAATGTTATTTTTTGTATTCAAAACTGAAAGAACATATAAATTAACCTACTATGAAGCTCTAGACAGAGATTTATATATATGTGTGTGAGTATGTTGCGGTCGCAAACGAATGTAAGACAAAGCTAGCTTTGATGATAAGGTGGTTAACACTGTTAAAATCCGACGAACTGTATGTGTAACATATGATCTATTCATAATTCTAGACAGAGAATGGGGTGGCAAAGAGGTGGCAGTTAGAGAGAGATAGAGACGTACTTATTTTTATGCAAAAGAGATAATTAACAATATGATGCTGTGCTTATATCAAGTGCAGGGCAACTGTGCGACGAGGGAATCACCAATTAAGATCATGAATTTATATATATTTTTCGATAACATACGTGCGGCAAAACTAGAAGACAAATGGCGGCAATTAAAAATGAGTGCTAGCCGATAGTTTTACCTCTTCTGTGGCAAGAACTTCACTCAGAAAGGGACATTGAGTTGCCTCGCTGGCAAAGAAAATTCGGATTTATTCACAATTTTGGTGTATTACTGAAATGAATCCTTAATGTACTGTCAATACCTTGATAGATTAAATGGAATAATAAGCGGAAGGGCGGAACGAGCACACGAAATGGTTAAAGCGCTTCTATACAATATCGGAGAAACAATACTTGTTTAGAAGTAAGGAAACAGAGCGCTTAGCGACTCTGAACAAAACAGTTTGTGCTCTACTGAGCTGTACTGTTCACCTACCGTCATAAAATGTAGCCTTAACAGAAAATCTGCCATGGCTGCCCCTGTTTGATGCTAACTTTTTGTTAAATACTGTAAGAAACCTTTATGGTAATCTTATGCTTTGGCGCTAAACTGCGACGAATGTTTAAAATGGCCACCGTGTGTAATGTGAAACAAAACAACTACGTTATAACTGCTGTGGTCGTCCGTTTTATCTACTTAAAAAACAGGGGATTTGGGCTACGACTAAAAATTGCAAATGATAATTTTACTTCATCGTTTTTTGGACAATATGTTATAAACGTTAATAAACAACACTAAACGATGCAGGAAATACATGATGGATTACTAAAACTAAGAGAAATCTTTTGGATGGTGCATTCTTTTTTCTAACATCTGACATATTTTGATAGAGCATTAAATACATCTAATTCCGTTTGGAGATCTTTCGCTTATAAAAGCTCAGCAACTTAATGCCCGGGTGACGGTTTGTACCATGGCTACCGACTGAACCCGAGTTTCAACCTCGTCTGACTCCCTTAAGTGGCATTGGAAGCTCGTCCAGGATAACATGATGCAATTGGATTATGAAGAACAAAATGAGTTATCATTTTTAATTCCTTTTTCTGTTTCGCGTTCTTTATCGAGCATCGGTGTATTCAACATTAACGATACACTCCGTTGGCGTCTTTTGCAATAGGTCAGAACAGTACCTTATATGGCTGTATAAATGTCTAGTTAAATATTTTTCTTACGCACTGGGCATAAAGCTGCAATTCTTACATACGGTTATATTCTTCAAAATTTTTTAAAGTTGTTTATGAATGCGTATGGATGCCATCCACTCGTAATCACTCATAAAATTAAAGGCAGCTTCACCAAACGTACAATAGAAATATATGTACCGTATATATAATCCTGGTGCATCTTTATGATTACATTTATATTCTTAATTGATGAATTCTATATAGATCCTGCCTAATTTTGAATATAAATTTATGCTAAATAGAATGATACCTCGCACTCTTATTTCAAGATATTTCGTTTGTACAAAAACAAAGACTATCAATATCCGTGACGTCTCATCGGTTAACGGTTTTTCTCAATGAACTACGTAAGATGAACATCTTCAGTCATAAGCGTGCAGTTTGATTCCATCATCCTTGTAAAAACACTTCATATAGGATATTTCCAATGCAGCTTGAAGAATCTTAACGGTTTTCAGCTATCATTTAGTAGATAGTATTCCCTTCTTGTGCATTGAACATGTTGTGTCAAAGCTATCATTTAGTAGATAGTATTCCCTTCTTGTGCATTGAACATGTTGTGTCTAGTCGGTCCTTATCCGACGAGAAAAGGTATCCCGAACTGAACAAGATGGTTAGCTTAAACGAGCAGCTTTATCAACAAGCAATTCAATCAAACATGGCGACGGCCTCCTCTTGGTATTCACGATACAGAGCCATGTATTTGGCAATGAAGGCCTCGATGTGAAAGATGGGCTTTGATCCGAGCTGCATCCGATGTTCATAAGTTGCGGCCTCTGATATCACACGTTTTTTTAAGGAATCATCGGTCTTCTCCAGCAATCGCTGAACCAGCTCCTGCAATATACAAGAAACCAAATATTTTTACAAAATTTAAGTCCGAACAATATTTTCGAAAAAGAAAATTTTAGATGTAGAAAAACCAGCATTGTTTTTCATTATTAGTTAAAATAGATTAATCGCATGATGTTTTATTTTCATAAGATATATAGTTTTACTGAACTACCGAAGAACTTCGGTGATTTTGAAATCAACATAATACAGCTGTACATTACAAAAACTTAAACACTAAATTTCTAATATTTTCCAGGACCAAAAAGTACTTTGATCTTGGTCAATTTCGATTCATCCCAAGCTTCTCAAGGCCTAGTTCAAAAGACTTCTGCTGATATAAATGAATTGCAAACTTCGTATATAGGTTTGCTTATTATTATTTTCTAGATAATAATAAACAAATCTATAAAAATAAACATAAAAATGTTAATTCTTGTGCATTGTTTTTATTGTGCGTTTCTACAGTTGAAATAGTACCGCTGGCACTTTACATCAAGTTTTTTGTCTTGTTCGAGTGCTACATTAAACATTACTCTTATTGAATCTAACCCGTATTTATGAGTAACACTTCTTATAAACTAAATTACCGAGTTCGCCATAAAAGTAAGCTACGGCGGTGAAGCAATCCTTACTCTATGAAATTACTCGCCATCATTGAGAAATTATTTTACACACGCAGAGTGATTAGCAGAGGGGTCATAATACCTCAAAGAGTAGCTGTGGAGGTACAAGATGTGATAATAATTCATAGATCCGTTCCCTGACAGCGAACAACTTTTGAGGACTTTGTTCTTTGATGATTTCGTTGGCCGTATCTCGGATGTACACTTCCCAATCCGGTAGGATGACGTCTTGGTTAGGTGCGAACGGAAACCTTACATCGTAAATTCAGCCAAAAAGGAAAATGAAGTTTAGTGCGTAACTCACACGAAAGCGATGACAAACTGCAGTCCATCTTTTCTGTTTGCATTCCGACGAATGTATGAGAAAAGGCTTGACGTAAAGGCAAACCCTTGAACATATTTTGGAAGGGCATGTGCATATACTAACCGGTGCAGTTGTGAAATAAACCACATTTTCGCTCATCGAAAGATATAGCAGAATTTATTTCTTAAGACACACTAACAAAAATTTGTCGGGATACAATGCCGTGCTCAGTCTATATACATACATACTGTTTAACACGGATAGCCTCAAGCATAAGAATGGCCTTACGCAGATTCCCATATGACTCTGCGGCGATACGTTTTGCTAACTCCTCAGGTAAAGACAGATTTTCCCGCTTCGAGATTCCTTGAAGAATTCCCACCTACGAGTTCAAAATGAACAACATCGGAAAGAACAGACACAAAAGCGGAATAAACCAAAAACACGTCTGCCTACTAGAAAAAGTAGGTTAAACGTTTTATGCTGTTCTGCATGAATAACATCGTTCGCTAGGGCTCTTTGAAGAAGCAGCATTAAAAATGCTAAATCAATGTAATCCTCGATTATTACTTGAATTGTTCAATACGCGTAAAACTGGTAGCTTCTCTTTTATATAAATGCAATAAAGGCAGTCCAACATTTTTGGTATAAAACCTAGTCACGCCGAAAAATAGAGAGAATTGAATCTGAACTATGTTTTCTTTAAACAAAAGTAGAGTAGTAGTAGAAGTAGTAGAAAAGTAGAGGGAAGATTGTAAATGGTGACTCAGCTTACAATTTCATGTGCCGTGGGAGCAGGAACCCGTAGTCCAAGACATCTGCTCCGAATAGCTGGAATAACCTTCGTCGTTGAATTGCACATAAGAATAAGCCTACAACTTGCCATATATTTTTCCATGGTACGACGTAATGCGTGCTGGGCCTCTTTTGACAATCGTTCAACTTCAGTAAGGATGACGACTAATGAAAAAGCAAAGGAAAACAATAAGTGTCAAGAATTCTAGAAACAAATGCGTAATTTTAAGAATGTATCTACTTATAAGCAAATTTTTGTAAGAGTGCGATTTTGCTATTTAGCATAACACGATAATACATTCGGAAGTACTACAAAGGGTACCTTTGAACGTTTTCTTGCGTTCTTCCTTATCTTGTTGAGCTTGGACAGCGACATTGTGAGTTTGAGCGATGCCCTTTAAGAGCTCCTGGATGACAACTCGATCCTGATTTCCGACATCTGATGGGTTCACTTCGATATGATAGTTCGAAGATAACTGAATTATACAGATCATCAAAAATTCGTGTAAAATACATAAAAACAATAAAATATATAAAAACAAATAGCGATCTAAAAGGCCAATTTGTTGACTGATTCGGCAAAAAAGCTTGGGCTTGGTAACCTGACCTCTTGATTAATCCTTGAAGCACAACGTACACGTGAAATAGACGTTTCATATAATGATGCATCGAAATAAGAGGATAAATAGAAAAAAACCCGAATCGACTGACTGGCAGCCATTATACCGTTCGAAGTTCGATCTTTTTTTTGCTTTGTGTCGTAAACACTTGCTGCTCGATCCTCAATCTGTCAACGCCTCCGCCATAAAGTTCCTTAAGAGTCGCCATGACGCGGGTCTTCTTACCCGAACCAGGTGGACCATAGATCAGAAGGTGAGGCAGGTCGCCACCTTGGGCCTACGGAGGATATGTATTATTACAACGTTAATAATTTGTTCAGCAATGGCGAAATGAAAAATTTCTCGGTTATAGTTTAAACTGATCGTATATGTCATTTAGAGAAAAATAATGCGAGTCTAATGTTATTATCTATAAGAATAACAACAAAAATAGAGGGGCCCAGAGCGCTTTATCTAATTACTAAAAAGTACAGTGTTATTCTACGTATATCAGCTATTAAAGTAAAAGTAAGAGTAGAGCTGAGTAGTCGTTGATGGAAGTATTTACCTGGCGACTTTTTTTTTTGCTATGGCTAAGACTTGTAAGCTGAAATGTTCTACGATATATTTAGTGAACTGTGCTACAATCTCTACGAACGAATTGAAAAAAACAGTCTAAATACAGGTAGCTAAAAAATCAATTGTACCGTATTATATGAACGCGTATACTTACTAATCGTTTTAACCATGCCGCCTGCTTTTTGTGATAATCGATGCTGTCTAGATCTCTAGGCCGGTACTTGTCCACATACAGGGTCATAGCTACACGTTACTAAAATAATAACTTTATTTAAAAAAAGAAAATTGAAAAATAGCTATAATGATTCACAAAAGCAACAATTTGCCGTTGTGGTAGCTTTTGCTACGACAGCTCACATTCAATGTTCCAAAGCGGTTTGGCGCTAAAGTAGATACCGCACACAGCTGGCTTTCAATCTAGTACTCGTGATTTCTAAACACCGCTTATTTTGAATAGTTCTATTGAAACTAAGAGTCAAGTATGTATCTATAAACAATCGATTATTTATATATTAACATGTTTACTTTCTGCGCAAGCGTAGAGATGAAAATTCAAGATAAAAGATATAAATAACTTCACATTGATAAATAACACTGGACTAGTTCGGTCAGCTGATCAGGTGATGATTCGAATGGTTCGCGGCGGTGGTCAGATCTATGATACTGCTGATTTAGCAAGTATAATACTCTAGAGTAAAGTAAAAAATACTTCGCCGCGGCAAAATTTAGCACTATAAATTGAATTTTCTAGTGTAACAGCACCGGCAAAGATGGTAACCATATAACCAAAATAGCATAGTTATCATTTTAGCAGCGTGTTTATATCATTATTAACACCATGTCGTTTTTCAAACTATATTGTGTAGTCAGTTTTAGTAAAAAAACGTGCTGACTTCAGTATATATGTTATTATAGCCTATACTAGGCTAGTCGACTGTCTTTTTTTCTTATCAAAGTTATTTCGATATTGTTTCCTTTCGTCACTACGTTTAGGACCTGAGTAAATATGTATTTATGTGAACGGTTTCCGTTTAAAAAGGCTTCGCTTTGGCTAAAATTATCAAGTTTTTTTTTATAAAAAATAATTGTTGAAGTGCCTGTTTTTTTAGAAATGCTGGTCAACTTGAAATACAATTTTAGCTGAACTTGGAAAATTTTCTTTCTATAGCTTTCGATGCGTTAAAACAGAATATATTTCAGTACATTCTATCAAACATAAATAAAAGCTAATTTTTGGACGATCTCTGTGCCGAAATTTCTGAGACATGCTGCAGATAGTCAAGAACACCATAAGATTTAAGATCAACAGCCTATTGCGTAAACTAGTTAAACTCACCGTTTGTTCACATGATAGTGATTGAGTGTGATTCAAACGGCGTTTATTAGTTAGAATCTATAATATATGACACATGATGGTACATGATATATAGAGTGAACGAACCTGGCACATATGTGCATATTTATGTGGGTCTGGCAAATCTTATCAAGGCAAGATATATGTTTCATATTTTTTAGTAGGTAGAGATGGTCCGACTGGAAAACTGTATTTTGAAAATCTTATGCTGTGACAAATTTTACTTTGAAAGACTGATTTTCGTGTTTACACAGGAGACTGTTCGCTCCATATTAAATGTTAAAATGATCGTCCTCGTAATGGTCTAGTGGTGATATCACTGCCTACAAAACAGGGATACCTGGGCTTGTTGCGAATTTAAGAACGCAATAGAATTTATTTCGTGTTCAAAGTTAACCCTCTAAAGCAATGCTTAAGGGCAGTAGCAAACGTAAAATTCGAAATATTTATTTGGAACCAAACATGTTACCCTTTTTACATTTAAAAAGTCAAGTTTTTTTTGTCTCTCCGGTCTGAAAAAATCCAGCCTGTGAAATCCACCTTGTTATAGCCCCGCATGCTGAAAAGGCCTGCTAATATTCCCTTATAGCATTCTATAGGCACATCACTATACATCCGAGAACAAACGGGTTCTTCTTAACTAGCCTATAAACAGTCCTGTATTAACCGGCGACCCGGGCACTTGATTAGACTCGATCTGTGCGTTTTTGTAAAGTTAGTTTCTCAGGAACTGCTTGTTGCTTACGAGATAAACTTTGCAGTGGCATGTATATAGTAGGAAAGATTTTCTTTAGGCCTAGCCCGATTTACCACTTGGCAATGTAAAGCCAGTCCGTTATAATATTGAACTGAAATTCTAGTTGGCTCGAAGCGAAGTATACATAAAAAAGTACTGTTACTTAAATTCAAGCGGGCAAAGGATACAGTTAACAATAAGAACAACGACAACGCCACTATGCAGTAGCACGCATCACTCCTTCGTTGAGAAAAACAGTAAGCACAAAGAATAAAGAACGGTTAAAGATCCGCGCAGCGAAGTTCAACAACGAAATATAGTCTACTCGTATAGTCAATGTTCTTTTTCAGTTAGAATTCGCGCGATTCTACACACTCGGAAATCACATAATTTCTTAGACCAGAAAGTGGCTTCCATTAAGAACTTTCATACCACAATGGTACTTGAAACGCTTGGCCTTTAGACCTGAGCTTTAGGACCTGCTGGATTCTATGTTCCTGAAAATGCCAATACAAGTAGGTACTTTTCATTTGTAAAAATAATCTTTTCTTTCATAACTTTTTAGTGCTGTTGAGTCACATTCAGGTGAAAGTTATGGTATTACAATTCTCTATACAAATGGTATTATGAACCAGATTTATTCATAGCTATGGAATACATTTAACGTTAACAAATATTCCTATATTATTGATAAATATATTGCTACGTTCTCTCTGGGGATCTATTCTCTCGCACCCTTTGTGCCACATGTTATTTAGGAATTTTCTTTTATCTTAAACGTAAATTATTTGATACGCTATTTTACGCGTGATTATTACGTGAATGTTACGAAACCTATATAAAGCTCATTTATGCTTTTTGCATAATTCAGTGTGATTTAAAGATATTTCATAGCATGTAATTAAGCCAGAGCATTTTCGATTTCATACTGAAGGTTTTAGCTACGAATCTCATTGATAAAAACTATACATTAGATGCAATATACATATAGAATGTCAAGGAAAATCCAAGGCCAAATATCTATAGACGTGTTTTGCCTGAGAGAACGAAAGCAGTATAGAAATAGATCACAGCTCCGAAAATAGATCACAGAGCTGCTTTCTCTTAATCAGCTACCACAATGCTACACATTGTACTTGCGCGCGTCAACAAATTTTGATACAATAAAAATACAGCCAATATCTCAGCTTGGTCCTTCGATGTGACTCAAATAATACTTTTATGAGCAGGATGATCTTTGTAGTATTATTGACGCTAACGCTCTTTGTATGTATGATCTACCTCATTATTTCCTTTTGATATTGCAATCATCGCTTCACAACTGGAGTCTTCGTGAGGATGGCCTTGACTTCGAGACGAGCTCCATCTTAACGTTGATATTCCACGTGTAACTGTTACTCGAAAAACATTAATTATCGAGCTTTTTGCCGCCCCATTTGTCTATCTTACCCGAAAGTTCACCACCGTTAATTGTTGGTTATAGAACCTGTTTTTTACTTTGGTTAATTTTCTGTTATTCTTGGGAGACAGCACCTCGTTTTGGTCTGGACTTTTTAGATCTGTAGACATTCTTCTATATGTACATACTTCAGCAGTGTATGTTGTAAAATAAACAAATTCTGGTATTATTTCCCGTTGCATTGCGCTGGTCGATTGCAATGCATATTGGTATAAAGTTTTTACAAAATAGGGCCATTTATCGGATTAGAAGCAAATGCTCGTGTGCTCCTTGTTACTACGTTCACTCAGTAAAGCTTCTATAGAGGTATTCTGTATGAGCGGTTGAAGACGGCTCTATACAGTATTACCATTTCGAATAGAAGGTTTTCTTTTAGGATAAATGCAATATGCCACACCTGTGTTTTTTTCCGCTAAAATCGCAAAAAGCTTAGAATGGCAATTATTCCTGAAAACATTATATTGAGCGCTCGTTTCTGTGATGCTTTGCACTAAAAATCTAAAATATGCTTCAACATGCATAAAAGATGTTATATGAGAATGAAATTTTAGTTTCCGTATGTATGCCGTTGAAGAAAATCGAATCTTACGTTACACCCACAGTACCCTTTCTTCTACTACACATCTTTTTGTTTTGATTCAATAGAATAGGGCCTTCAAGCTACTCCCGTAGTCAAGATATCTCTTAGCAACACTTCGCAGTCAATTTCGTAGTGGATCGAGATCACGATGGATGGTAATTCAGGTGATGAGAGAATCGTAGTTGTCGTCGCATGTTTTAAACGTGCGATTAGCGTGTTTATTTCGAGAGCGAGCATTTTAGGGGGTCGTTCAGGGGGCAGTTGGTGAAGGAACATACGTCTTGCAAACAGTTCCGGAAGGCAGTTTTGATCGATGTAAAAGATAGACTACGTATATATAATAAACTAGGCAGCTTGGTGGGTATCGTAGGACTTGTTTTGCCTATGGTGCACTGGCTGTGCCTACCGTTGATTGTGTATATATTAAATTTTGCCATTTTGACCATTAGCGCATCGCAGCAATTGCGTAATTAAGTTAGTTTCTTCCATAAGAGAAGTACCCATTAACTATAATAAAGAAAGTAGAAGGTAAAACAAACAAAGCCTCTCATATAGACGCGCTTCACCGCTGTATGGTATCTGGCTAAAAAAATCTGGCTTCATTTCCCGTACTTGAAACAATTGGCCCGTAAAAACACACGTATAAATGAAAACGTTTGTTGAGGTTACTGGCCTCTACTACTGTCGGCTTACCTCAGGTTACTTGTTATTTTAATGCTATATTTCCGGTCCATAGTTACCAGCATTAAGTTTGCACGAACATACCTATTGTGCCCGAGTGCACAATTGGATATAAATTGTCCTAAGATTTCTAGTAAATGCGCGGACGATATTGCCGCAACCCCATGTATCTAAAATTCTGCTAAATACCAAGTGTCGAGTTCTTCACGCCGGCAAATTACTATCAAGTCAAGCTTTTGCATACAGCGTTATCGAAGAGCTACTTAGACTTACGGGCCGTCAATGAAGGTTAGCGGTTTCGACTGAACCATTTGGTACGTCATGCTTACTTTTCTTCTCAATCTATGTTCACATAGTAATGTGTTGTTCAAAAGAACAACACAAAGGGAAAGTAACTTTCGAGGATAAAACAATTGGCGAGCTTTTGGGTGAAGTTCTCTAAGAAAATTTTTAAGGGGTCGTTTTTTTTTGCTTATATTCTAAAATATTCAAAAATGATGTGTATCGGAAAATGTAGCAGACGATAAAGGCAGCAATAGTGCGAGGCAGGTTATCTTTGAAACTGCTAAGTTTAGATTGCCTATCCATAGCTTTGCTTAATTATTGGAATATTTTCTCGTTGTTCTATGCTGTAAGTTGTTCATTACGTAAATGATTTTCTCAGCAGAAATGAAGATGTCATTTATACCTGAGATTCTTTTTTGTTTGCCAGGTGGTTCTCTTTAGCCCAGCAAATTGGTGGTGAATAACTAACAATAAATCGTTTAGTCACACGATTTTACATACTTAACCACAGCAGGAAATGAAAATTAAGACATTTAGTCTGTACAGCAGAATTTTGGCCGCACTGTTAAGGGTCTTTTTTAGCTTCTCTTTTCTATCATTTTTTAGCTTAAAGTCTCTACGTTCACAATGGCCGCTCGTTCTCACCTGCTCTAGTTCCGGCAGAAATATGGAGCAACTTTCTTTAGTGGGCCGGGTCGGTGTTCCACTCTATATATATTAGAAGTTACCTTAAACCGCATCTCGACATTACACCTCGCCAGAAATCGAATATCGGCTAGCGTAGACATTTTTATCTCCATCTTTAATTTATACCAGGAGCACCTCCATGCCGGTGCCGCTAAAACCTCCCCCTGTACGATTGTGGCAGGACCCTCTTGAAATGGCTAAGAATATGGGAGCAATTGCCTCATTGTAATCACTTTGGAATTATTGTGGAAAAAATAAATCGCTTGCTGGGGCAGCGTGCAAGTTAAATTAAACAAATCGTTAGTTTAAGAGTAAATAAATAGTTCTTTTAATTCGCCATGAGATGCAACTTGTGATGGAATTAATACCCATAGGGATGACAACAATGTAGAAGGCGCGATGGATGAAACCTTTACAAATATTTAGATTTAGGGATAAATTTCAACCGGAAGAGCAACGGGTGAACATAACAAACGGTCGTACCAAAGTACGACCGTGTGCGGAAGAAACAGCAGCAGGCATCGTTAAAAGTATTCTGCAAGGGGCCAACTAGACCCACACAATCAGAATAAATAATGGCGTCCTTTTAAGAGTCAGTTTCGCTCGTACTATGGGAATGTACGTTCCCAAATGCAGATAACTTCCTGATTTTCATTGCACTATTGTGATTTCAGGCCGCGCAAATTTTGGCTAAAGAAGGCCAGGGATCGCTGCTTTAAGTCCCGCTGACGACACATACTAAACAAGTTGCATAGATAAAAAAGTTACCATTAAATTGTCCTAATCGAAACAATTGTATTGTAACCCTTTTATTCCCTTGTTAACTTTCATCTTGATTGTTAGGCTTGCAATTCTAAAAGAAATTGCGCTATTTCTGAATAAATAGCAAAAACAGCAAACCTAAATTGATCTCGTAACATTAGCTCATTTACCATTAACTAGCAGAGGTTCTAGAAATACTCACAATTTTTTATCTATAATGTCATGAACACCAACATATTATGAGCCTGAAAAAAATCGAAGCATAGTCGGTGGTACATTATACATGTTAAATTATGCACCATGTGGTATTATTTCGATATATTGAACTTCACCTTATCCCTCTTCAAACAGCTAAATTTTTTATCGGTTTCAAATCTTCGCGGTTCCCGTCCCCTTTCATCTTGTTCTGGGCAGCCACATTCCCTCTCCGTCACCCCGTTGTTGGGTTTTGCCTGTCCGCCTGGCTGCACGTCGGTCTGGCTGGGTAGATTTGCTGCGCGTGCGCACGGGGCCAGTGAGCGCTCTGTTCTTCAACAGTGTGTTCTGTGCTGCTGTGCAACTGCTGTTAGTAGCGGTGATCGGTCGGTCGGTCGGTCGGTCGCTCTATAGTAGTAGCCACAGAGAGCGAGAACAAACTAAGAAACGGCTATCGCGGGGGGACGGTCAATCCGCAGTGCAGTAAAAAGTCCAGAGCTGGCCAGAGTAGTCCACAGCGGTGCTCGGTGGCCGGCCTGTGCAACCACTGCCACTGTGGGGCTCGGCCTGAAAACGGCTGGGTACTGACTGGCAACTGCGGCACCAGCATCTGCAAGCCCCCGGTCATCTGAGCAGCGGTATAACAAAGTGCTGCTTGAAACATGTTAGACTCTGGGTGATACATCGGATCAACCATCGCCAAAACAAGCATTCCTGCCGTGATCGTCATAATAGATAGATTGACATGGATAACAATAAATAGGGCGTTCGTGTGTGAATGGCTTCGTGAGCGGAACCAGAGTTTGCTAGTGTTATATGAATCAAGTGGAATAAACACTGCCCGTGATGGCGACGCTCGTTGCTAACGCTGGTTTTCGCAGTTCGTGCGTAAAGCCAAATATTCAGAGATTTTAAGGTACTGCTTTCATCCGCTCAGCTGATGGAGCAAGTAACAGTGAAAATTGTGGCAGCAATACTTTACAGCTTAATATTTGCAAACAGAGGTAATTTGTTAGCGGATCCATCCGACGAATGACGAAGCTTTGCGTCTGCAACTGCTTCTTTGGAACATCGAGTACCGCCTATATCTCTGCCTCGTCGAAGCCGTTTCGCAAATACGAGCAGCCAGCCTTAAAAGAGAAAGGAGGCCATACCATTTCACCTGCGCACCTAAGTAAGTCAACCTTAAAGCGGCAGCCACACTACCACTCGACATAAGCAAGAGTTTTTACTAACCGTCTGCGTGAGTCTATGTGACCGTCTAATCGTTGCTCATCGTGCCGCTCTGATCGACGCAATATCGCGTGCTGTTCGATTACCAGCGTTCTCCCGTTCAGCCTTTGTTTGTACTAGTTCACAGAATTTACATGAACAGGCCGTATGCGTAGTGATGTTTTCGGATCATGTGAACAAATGTGAGATTGTCCGTAATGAAGAACTAAGTTAATTACCATTCCTGACCGAAAGCACAATTTACGCCGATCCATGAATGGTGTAGAGAGTTTGAAGGTGGGAGTTTCGTTCATTATTACCGTTATCATTATCACAGCCAAACCCGTTGCTACGAATATCTCAATCGGGCAACGTTTATTTACGATACACTAGATTTTAATGTTGCTGTTTGCGAAAGAAGATAACCGGCCGACAAGCGAACAGCTGAAATGATTGACAAACAACCCTGTTTTCCTCAACATCATGCATGAGTGGTAAGTGTGTACAGCATAACATATATGGTGATATAATAGTGGCATAATCATGTGGTCAAGTGTACATACCACGGTCGAGTTGTTACAGGACTAGGTGGGGTTACCGACGGACTGACCAATCCAGTAGCTGCTGGCAGACAGCTTTAAATATCGATAAACCCATGTTTTACCCCATTCATGTTGTGGTCAACGGCCCGAGAAGCAATAGGCGCTCTATCTTCTACTGGCCATTCCGAGATAGATAGTAAAGTGCTTAGCAAGCAAAATCATAATTGACGACGATAAGCTCTTTGTAATTTTTCAGTTGAGATTCCTTCTGTACAAACAGTTTTGAATTGTACTAAGGGTCGTGCAGGGACACAAAAGCAGTGGTTACCTATATATGTTATAAACGGTGTATCGTAGGCAAATGAAGTTTGAACAAAGCGCAGTAAAATACGCGCGCTGACATAGCGTCAGGACTGAACCTAATCGAACTGAGATTTTATGACAATATCTATAGTCATATCACGATTCAGAACCTACTCATATCAGGCTTATCGCAGGCCGAAAAACTGTATTGCGTGTTAAATGATTCGTTGTGGTTGCTTAAATACGCACTCGTCTGTATTCATTTCTAAGCAAAATAGAAAAATTTCATTTTGTTTCAATTGAGTATGTACAAAGGTTGGATTGGTCGGATGATTGCAGCGTTAATACGTAATATACTATGAGTTCTCTGAAGGCTCGTTCTGAAAACTGTTAAGCCAGGAGCTTGGAGCATCAGGTTCACAGCCTATATAACTCAAATCAAATCGGTATTTTTCGAGCAGACTTGGCTGCTGACGACCAGTGCCTTGCGCTTTTTGCGTAACGTACCTACGTACTGTTAACGCTAGCAATATGAAAATGACGCCAACTTCTTCGGACCAGATTCTAGATGTTTTAGACGTTATGCGGTATGAGAAGTAGGGAAGAACTGAATCAGAATGAACTAGTTACATGACACATGATTGTCATGTAGACGAGTTGTTAAGCGGCCTACTAGCTCCGAGTGGATGATATTTAGTATAGTAATTATATTGTTTGTTTGGGACATTTAGATATTGATATATTCTCATTAGTCTTATCTTTATACGGATTAAGGCTTGAGCAATCTTCACGCTCACTAGTGAACTAATTCAGCGCTTCGAAGGTGCTTTGTAGTAGCGTCCAGTGTAACGTGTTTTATGGGATTTACGCCCTTGTGCCAATACCGGAAGGTGCGATTCCACTTTGGTGGACAAAGACCAAGCAGATATATAAAACGCACAGTGTATACTACCTATAATTTTTCGGCATTTTATTACTATTGCTCATTATAGTAGATTCATCATATTTCTGGCAATGGCGCGGTATGAATGGAAGTAGTCAAAGCAACGATCGATTAATAACTTTTTCGTTTGTATAAGGCTTTATTGTCGTTGCTTTCGTAATAGTTTGTCCGGGGGTCGTGCACTGAAATCGATAAATGCAAATGCGATTGTATAAAGTAATACCCCAAAGTAAAAGTTCACACGTTGTACTCGTTAAGGTCACTGCCCATTCTTCTTGGCTGCCTGCCCACAACGTACGCTTCCGATGGACCTTTGGATCACAGTCAGCTGAATACTCCGGCTAGTGGCGGCTTCAGTATGAATATTTCTGCCATCAACGGCGATATTTGCGAAATAGTTGAGCCAAAGAATGGTCACTTTGAACTAAACGAACTTGAAACTAACTTGAAACACTTGGAACTAAAATGCAAAGCTGTATGACCACGCCAGTTCATTAGACTATGAACTATTACTCCGGGGGGTTCACAGAAGTATTCTCGTCAGAAGTGAAACGTTTGCCTTTGACGAAGTGGAAATAATTTTGGAGGCCATAATTATCATTTATTCTATCTACCATTGCAAATCGAAGGCTTTTTTCGGTCGAAAACCCAATGCTACCTATTAAATCGTTGATTAATAACGGGTATTGTTTATATCTAGAATTGTATTTCATGCATTTTCTACCAGGGGAGCACTAGTCCCTCTATTAGTATCCGTGCATAAGGCAGACAACCAAGTAAACTATTGACAGCTATTCACTGCCAAATTTGAAATTCGTGAATCCTACGGTCGCTTTGTCACGTGTGACGGTTAAATCGAATGATTTTAGACCTATATTTCATGGCTAGCTTCTTTCGTTGCAAAGACGACATGACTAACGAGATAGAAGGACATGTGTTGTACGCGAATCGTGAACTAGGTCTTTCGTTAAACCGCGTTCCTGGACTCACTGCAGGCTGTGGTCTGAGGTCTGTGTCCGAATCGTCGCCAGTATCTATGATTATTCTATTTCTAGTTACCACAAACCGCAATAGAGTAGAAAAGCCTTGCGCGGAACGTATTTGCCCTTAAAAGTGAATAGTAAAGGTGCCTCGATGTGCGCATAAGGCTGGGTGTAGCCGATTCTAATTTTGGTCGTGAGTTATTGCATTTCGAACAATGTGATCTATAGGTAGTCCAGAGGACAAGCTCGCATGTCCACCATCCTTTAAATATTGTAAAGCGTAAGCAAATTTTTGATCATAGTTCACACGAGTCATTGCTGTCCATTGTTGTTACGCTCAACCATTTTAAGTAAAACCTATCCCAGAGAGCAGTCTAGTTAAATATTTATATACAAGACATTATGCCGTTCCCACTGTATCGAACGCGATGTTATCACATCGTTCTGATCAGCATAATTACGCTGCGGCAATATGCACTTCGGCGAGGGTCATACAGTTCATAAAAGATAAGCCCTTGTATACCGCAGAAATCAGGATAAAATTATAAATTTTTTGTCATGAGGTAGAACTTTGTTGAGATTTTACGCTTTGCTAGGCAAAGATACTCCATATAAACGGAGTCTCACGTATCTCACGGAACAGCTTTGTCGAACATGCCTTAATGGAGCAACATGTCGGTGTTCAAAATGTGCGCGTATTGGAACGCATTGGAGTGATGCAGTCTCTCCAGCGTATCAAATAAATATGCCAGAATTCAGTAAATAGAGGCTGCTACAACAAATGGAAGAATTAAGCAAGTAAAATTATTGACCTAAGATCTGTGCTGCTGGTACGCCTACTATTTGCTAGCCAGCCATAGGGAATAGAGTAGCTTCAAGCCGTGTGACGGTGTTAACGCGTCATGGTACCGATTAGCCATTGAAAGCGTTCTTGTCTCTGCTCAGCCTCGTGATAAATCAGTCATCGTATCAATAGGCTGAGATGGTTGGCTTGAGACAGTTTATAACCTTCTTAGCGTGACGGTCAGCTGAAACGGGCCAAGAAAGCGATATAGCCGCATATGTGCAATATATTAGGTTTAGGTTGGCTTCATTTCTGGATTAGTTTGACAGCCTGTTGACATTTTCTATGGATACGTGTAAGATTGTCGTAGTACAAATAGGAGATGTGAGATCGAGTCCAACTTGTAGTATTCATAAGAGCATCACGAATTCATTTGTGCAATATAACTTATTAAACGATAGTCGATGAAAGCGAACTGGGTTACTATTTTTGGCATCTTTTCAACTCATCTATCAATATATCAAATCACAAATAAAATCGATCGGGCCTGCAGCTCATCCGCATGTTATCTAGTGATTATATAATTGTATACTGCTTCACATGCAGTTGCACCTTTTTGTGCTTGCAGCGTCGCAATGAGTTCACGTTTGAAGTAGATTTCAATCAATAGATTACTAAATATTTAATACCGTGTATTTGTGATTGTTTGTTTCTCTATTTGATTTAATAATCACGCGTCAAACGACGGGAAATCGGATCTGTACAACATTGTTATTACTATTATCGTTATAAATGTTATAGAACTGTGCTTGCAAGATCCCAGAGGAACGTATTTGGTACTCGCGTAAAAGCCATGCCAAGAAGGAAACAACAGAATAAAGATCACCAATATAAGCCCGACATACGAAATCGTTTTGTCATCAGTGATACACGGTAAAAAGGGTTTCGTTGCGGGCACAAGAGCGTACACTCCTCTCCGCCAGCGACCCTAACGTTAACCATCAACTTTGTTTAGACACTTAGCGCTATAATGGTGAGGCTTTGAATTAAGTACGTGAGTATGAGGACACTTCGAATGTCTAGCGCGTCTCAGCACATGTTAGGCTCTTAGAAGCGTTGCCAGCTTACATGAAAGCAATAGTGAACCAAGCTAGCGGACTCTGAGGCCCCCAACAAGTTGCCAGCACCTAGTTTGCCTAATCGGGCGGTAGCCTGGTTATCGAAACAATTATAGTTCAGATCTCTGTAACACGAAAGACATGAAACTGCGCATTTACAAACTAGCATTTCTCATGAGACCATACTTATGTTGCCGCCCAGTCGTCTATTTGTCACTTGATGTTGTATACTTTTTAGCTGCTCCATGCGCAGAATTATGTCGAGCCTATATTTCTACAACTCGCAGCAATACGGTAAACAACACCGCTTTTCTGTGTCAGTACGGTTTCTATACTTTGTAGAACTTTGCATCTTCGCTAGGCGGCCAATTAGGTTAGTAAGTGTTAATTATAGCATGTGTGGCCATCTGTTATTTTTTCTTCCGCTGCCATTATTCTATTAAATATCCAATAGAAGCGTCTGTTGTACCAGTGGCTTATCTACACTGCTCTAATTGTAATCTATGATATTACGCTGACAGTCCGGATGGCTCAGCGGTTATGATTGTTCACACATGGTGAACGGTAGGAACGGTAACGACGTTAGGCGAGTGCGCGTATGTTTTTGTCTATATCTATTTTCATTGAAGTAGTCTATATCCATGTTCAGTGCTGTTAATGATTGTGTGGTGATGATTGCGTCTTTTCGTCAGTTACCGCCATCGGCACGGTGGCGGGTGTTTGCCAGTCGTTGCAGGCATAGGTCATTCCTCCCTGTGGGTCGGGGCCGCTGGTACATGGATGACTGGCGTAGGATCATCGGTCCGACGCGAGTTGCTAAT